AATGTTTCTGGTGTACTAAATATTAATCACGTGCATTTCTCTCATAAGCTCCTCGGTACGAATTTCCGGATGACGTTAAATGATAAGAAACCAGGCTTATCTGCTCGCGTTATAACCTGTTTGCCGTCATTCGAATATAATCAAGATTTTTCCATTATTTTGCAGAATACAACGCTCCCAGATCTAACTGAAGCACGGCAAAGATCTAAGAAAGGGAAAGCTGTGTCAAATCAGTCCATAAACAAGTTATTTTAATTAGTGTTTTATTAACGGTAAAAAATCATTTTCAAGTGAATTTTTGAATAAGTAGGCCCAGACTACACAGTGCTTCGTTTTTTTGACAGAATCGGCCGTCACATAGGCAAATATATTAGCAAACAGTAAAAATCCTTAAATTTTTGTTGAAAGAGTCTGAATGAATGTGATTTGAGTAGTTTTCACGGAGAAATAAAGACCTGTCGGTAATGGAAGGATAACCATATTGATGTAATAGGACCAGCCTGTATGAGAGGTTTTTTAGGGGATATAAAGAGTTCCCCGCCTAAACCTAAACCTAAAAACCTTAACCGAATGAGGCTATTTGCTGTAGGTGGAAGGATAATACTTTGAGATGACAGCAAAATCACCGATCAAGTTGGTGAGGAACCAGGTACGATCGATCACATTCCGTTTAAAGTTCCAGCGATAAGGGGAAAGTAAAGGCTGTGACGATTTTTCGTTCTGTCGGTTGTGGTTGGGGATAATCACTATCGTAGATGGACACTCACTTAACTTCATTTTGTTCCTGGAGGCTCAGACAGGAACACTAATTTTTACAGAGGAAACCAGGCGAGCGACAATATTCCTTTATGGGGTAGTCTTGATCTAGTCTCTTAAAAGTTTTCGGATATGCAGATATGCCAGCAGAGTTGTAGGAAAACCGACATTATGAGTAGATATTAGGTTATACCCTCCTATTTCATTATATCATCTCATAATGCATTTCATCTAATCTATTAAATATTTTAACTTATGAGGGTAGTTTATGTAGATATAATGCCTGTTCAGACCCTCACAGCAAAATGGAAGGGTAATCTGGGATCCGATTTTGTGGCACATGACCACTGTCTTACATTTGAACTGTTTTGTTTTACCCATCCACGTGCTTGCACCTGACCGGTCGGTTTCGTTTTCTAAATCATCTGTTCGTCAGTAGCCATGGTAAGCTTCGCTCTCTCCTTATTCATTTTTTTTGCGGTTCAGTAGCCTTTGACCATTTTTTGTCATAGCTTATTCGCTTTCATAAATTTTAGTTCAGGCTTTAAATTTTCGACCACAGCTACCATCTCGACATACAGATTTAATGAAACGAAATTAACTACCGTGGCTGCATCTATAGCTCAGTTCTGTGGCCTTCGTTTCCATACTTAAGTTTTCCTCTGACTAATTTAAGATTGTAAAGTAACTTACTAAACAAAACGTTTGCGTTATCAGTGGCGTGCACCGGCGATTGATATTAGGATTATTTCACATTTAGAAGAAGGGGGTGGTGGCCGAGTGCGCTGGCTATCTTCGTATTTATTGTAAAAAGCCATAGCTCTGTACGATCTAGAGAATTAAGAAAAGCGACATTCTATATATGCTCCGCCTGTTTAATAAAAATAATTGCGTGATACAAAGGCATTGTATTTGCACGTGCTTCGTCCACTGATTGGTGCCAAATCTTTTCATCTCGCCTATGGTATGATGCGCATTCATAATTGGACGGTCGTTGTTGGGCTTAGATATAACCTTGGCGACAAATATTACGTTGTTCGTTGATTTCTCCCGTAGGGTGAAATTTGTACTGACTTTTTGTATGTATACAGAATTAGTCTGCATGCGAATCGTCTGTCATGCTAGCGTTGTACAATTGTCTCTGATGCTGAGTTTAGGCTCAAGTCTAAATTTAGTACTTAGCGTCTTTCGCATATTAAGGTATGCTTACAGCAATATCGTAAGGTTGACATAACAGCGAACGTCATAACAGAGACGTCTCATTCGAGTCTGTTTTTCGAAATATATAACTTAAATGTATCAGGGCACCTGTTCGGATATGACACATTTTCGTCTCCTCTACCTACAGTTATTAAGCTTGTTTGCTGATCGAAAGACCTGACCTCTTGCTACAAATATTCTATACATGCAGTAAACATTAACCTTGTTCTAATAAGCTATCAGTGACCAAAAAGTAGTTCATCTTTGCTTTTCCTCGTACGATACGACCATACGTGTCCTGACCGACATTAAAGATGTAACAGATAGCGCTTTCATGCGCGGAACTCACCAGCAAAAAACTTAGAGAAAATAGGTCATTCGTTTGGTGATGATGGAATGCTGAATGCTCGAGCGTCGTCTTTCTATCTTCGTGGACTGTACAAAGGTAGATTTTCGACTAGTCTGCATAGACTCCAGTTAGGTAGCATCTTTGGAATCAGGACAGAAGCACTGGACTCATTGCAGGTGCAACTAGGAACGTTCCCGTCTTTGTTAATCTTGAGTATCATTTCAATATTGTTTCAAGTTCTGTCACCTTCAAAACAAGGTCGTCGTACCTCAGTTCAAAATGTTCTCAATCAGCGGTGACCGAAATTCTTTAGTTTCCCGGCTACTTCGCACTCTCAAAACAGCCTTCATAATCACAGATGTTGCAACAGCACTCGTGGTTGATTCCACC